CGAATTGCCTTCTACCGAATTCGGGAAGGACCCGTTCGGGACGCTTCGCGACCCGCGGAACCTTCTAGTAACACCAGGGTTACTGCCTTTGTGTCGAGCCTATATATAGCCTCGCCTTGTACCCAGGTGCATTATTCAATAGTTCAATCTTTCCTGAACCAGATCCTCACAGTATCGCACTTACTTTTAGTACCAAACACGCAGGTAATTAACGCACTTACGTAACGCACTAAATCTTAGAAAAAAACACACGGGTTAGTTACGCACTTACTTTTAGTACCAACCACACGGGTAAGTAACGCACTTACTCTTGGTACCAACCACACTGGTACGTAACGCAGTGATCCTTAGTACCAACCACACAGGTAAGTAACACACTAAATCTTAGAAAAAAACCACAGTTGTTTGTGACGCACTTATTCTTAGTACCAACCACATGGGTAAGTATTGCACTTGCTCTTGGTACCGACCGCATGGGTAAAAAATGTCAGAACTAGCTATAGAAAGTAAGAATGAAGAAAGGAGAGTTTGCACTAGCAGCAGTTGGCATACATATAGGAAACCCTAATTGGGTTGTACTCGCTATAGAGTACCCCACTGCAGGCTAGAGCATAATATTCTGACACACCCCCATAGCCAAAGTGGGGTGTAATCAGCAGAGAAAGCAAAGCAGTACAAGCTCAGGGTGGATCACAATGTCACCACACATTCTGAGCACAAGTTTAAGAAGCAATAGTTTAAAGTGCACAATTATGAGCAAAGCTAGAGGCAGTTACAGAGGGCAAGTGAGGAGGAGGAGGGCTGGCGAGAGGAGAGAAGAGTGGAGGCGACGACTGAAGCTGCAGACACACGGGCAACAGACGGCTCTGGTGCAACTCTAGTGGCTACCGGGAGCAAGGGCCCCGGAATACAGGAGTAACAGGCTCTGCGTCTGATCAGCAGCGACAGGAGCAACGGACCCACGGGCGACAGGTGCAACCGGCTCTCTGAGCTACCGGTGGCTATCAGAACCCCGGAATACAGGCGCTGCAGACGACACGACGGCTGCCTCCACCCAACCTCCTCCAACTGTCCCACACCCCCCAACACACACCCCCTGCTGAAACCCTAGCTCCACTCCCATGGCACCCCCCTTAAACCCTAAACCCTCGGCTCCCACACACCCACCCCCCTGAGCAGCAGCTGCAGCAGTGGGAGACGGAGGAGGAGGAGGAGCAGGGGACGGCTGACAGAGACGGCACCCCCATACGCTCCACCCCCAAACCCTAATTCAGGAGTACGGGCAGCAGCAGGGGTGGGGCGCCGTCAGAAGCGCGAGGGACGGCGTGCAGCTCAGTGGGAGAGGAGACCGGGCGCCCGCGGGCCAGGCGCAGCCCGTACGAACCGCGCGCAGGCGGCCCGAGGCGCGCGCGGGCCAGGCGCAGCCCGTACGGGCCGCGCGCGGGCCTGGCGCAGGCCGTACGGGCCGCGCGCGGGCCTGGCGCAGCCCGTACGAGCAGCGCGCGGGTTGTACGGGCCGCGCGCGGGCCTGGCGCAGCCCGTACGGGCCGCGCGCGTGCAGAACAGGCCGCGCGCGGGCCTGGCGCAGCCTGTACGGGCCGCGCTCGTGCAGTACGGGCCGCGCACGGGCGACGGGGGCGACGCGCGGGTCCCCGGGGGCGCTTCGGCGGGCGACGGGGGGAGAAAACCGCCGCGCGCCTCGGGGCGCACGGCGGGCAGAGAACCGCCGCGCGCCTCGGGGCGCACGGCGGGATGAAAAATCCGTCGCACGCCACGAGGCGTGCGACACACAGAGTAGCAGTAGCAGTAGCAGTAGCAGCGGAAGGCTTAGGTGGTGGGCCCACCCACAGGATCGACCCAGGAGGGTCGACCTGCTCTGATAGCATGTCAGAACTAGCTGTAGAAAGTAAGAATGAAGAAAGGAGAGTTTGCACTAGCAGCAGTTGGCATACATATAGGAAACCCTAATTGGGTTGTACTCGCTATAGAGTACCCCACTGCAGGCTAGAGCATAATATTCTGACAAAAAACGCACTTTCTCTTCGTACCAACCACACGATTAAATAAAGCACTTACGCTTGGTACCAACCACACTGGTAAAAAACGAATTAAATCATATAAAAAAACATAAGGGTAAGTAACGCACTTATTTTTAGTACCGACCACACGGGTAAGTAAGTAGTGACACATTGTACCAAACAGACAGGTAAGTAATGCGCATACTCTTAGTACTAACCACACGGGAAAGTAACACACTTACTCTAAATATCAACCAGACGGGTAAGTAACACACTTACGCTTAATACTGACCACATAGGTAAATAACTCACTAAATCTTAGTAAAAACTACACAGGTAGGTTACACACTTACTCTTAGTACCAAGTCGGGATAAGTAACACACTTCCAGCCATACGGGTGCGTTACTTCTACTTCTATACCACGCATTACTTACCTGTATAATTGGTACTAAGTTTAAGTGCGTTACTTACTCGTGTGGTCGGCACTAAGATTAAGTGTGTTTCTAACCCGTATGGTTAAGATTAAGAATTAGTTCATTACTTTACGTGTGGTTGGTACTAAGAGTAAGTGCGTTACTTACCTGTATGGTTGGTACTAAGAGTAAATGGTTTACTTACCTTTGTAGTTGGTACTAAGATTAAGTGCGTTACTTACCAGTATGGTTGGCACTAAGAGTCTGTGCGTTACTTATCCGTGTGCTTGGTACTAAGATAAAGTGTGTTATATACCCGTATGGTTGGTACTAAGAGTAAGTGCGTTACTTACCCAAATGGTTGGTACTAAAAGTAAACCAGTTAAATACCCGTTTAGTTGGTACTAAAATTAAGTGTGTTACTTATTCGTATGGTTGGTATTAAGAGTACGTGAGTTAAATACCCGTGTATTTGGTACGAAGATAAAGTAAGTTACTTACCCGTATGTTTGGTACTAAGAGTCTGTGGGTTACCCGTGTAGTTGGTACAAAAATTGAGTGCGTTACTTACCTGTGTGGCCGGCACTAAGATTAAGTGCGTTAGTAAACCGTATGGTTGGTACTTTTAGACTGTGCATTACGTACCCGTGTAGTAGGAACTAAAATTAATTGCGATACTTACCCGTATGTTTGGTACTAAGAGTAAGTGCGTTACTTACAGTTGTAGTTGGTACAAAAGACTATGTGCTTATATTTACCAGTATGGTTGGTATTTAGAGCAAGTGCATTATTTACACGTGTAGTTGGAACTAAAATTAAGTGTGTTGCTTACCAGTATGATTGGTACTAAGAGTAAGTGCGTTACTTACGCACGTGGTCGGCACTAAGATTAAGTGTGTTACTTACCCGTACAGTTAGGGGTAAAATTTAGTGCGTTACTTACCTATACAGTTGGTACTATGATTACGTACGTTACTTATCTGTATGGTTGGCACTAGAAGTCTGTACTAAGAGTAAGTGCGTCACTTACCCGTGTAGTTGGTACAAAAATCAATTGCATTACTTACCCATATGGTTGGTACTAAGAGTAAGTGTGTTACTTATCCGTCTAGTTGGTAACAAGATTAAGTGCGTTACTTACCTGTATGGTTGGTACTAAGAGTAAGTGCGTTACTTACCCGTATGGTTGGTACCAAGATTGAGTGCGCTGCATACCCATATGGTTGGTACTACGAGTATGTAGAAATTCACTACAATAGCAGCTTGATAGAGCTCAGAAGCACGATTCCAACGCACCAAAGATTGCAGGAAACGGTCCACTATAGCCAGAGATACACACAAACATAGCAGTGATAATGACTTAGTTGATTTCTAGTTTGTGCTCTCTGGTTTTATACTAGGACGCAATACAAAAACAAAGCACACAAGAAAGTGTCGACCCGGGTCGCCTGCTGAATTTTGTCGACGCAAAATTCCGAGCCTTGAATTTCGCCGAGCGAATTCCATTGACTGGAATTCCGTAGACGAGAATTTCCGCGACCAGAATTCCGTCAACCGCCGACTGTAACTCCTGTGCGAATTCCGTTGACTTCGACACTTCGCTGCCGAGTTTCAAACCGAACGCGACCCGAGATCGATTTCGCCAAAGTGTCCCCAATATGTTCGCAAACTGTCCCCAATCTGTCCTGCCAAGACACTTTCGGGACACTTGAATCGAAAGGTCTCCAGTTCGAAACTCAAGTGCAGCATAACCAGCCCCTTAGCAGAAACTGTCCTGAATCTGTCCTGAGACACTTTCAGGATAGATTGAAAGTCACGAGTTCGAATCCCAGCGCCGACATTTTGTTGCTCATGGCAGCATTTCCTTCTAACACGCCCCCTTGCTGTCAGGAGCACGCTGGACCAGCCCGGCTGCTGCACAGCATCGGTTGAAGGCTGCCTTATCGAGCCGCTTCGTGAAGAAGTCCGCGGGCTGCGCCGTCGTAGGGATGTGCTGGAGCTCTAGCTTCTTCATACGCACCATGTCTTGCAGCCACATGTGGCGACGGTCCACATGCTTCATGCGCCCCTGCAGCCCGCCCGCCTGGCTGAGCTGCACCGCTGACATGTTGTCGACGTACAGGGTGGTGGGAACACCCTTCTTGAGTAGCTGAAACTCCCACAACAGGAACCTCAGCTTGCGCCCCTCCTTTCCCGCTTCCACCGCAGCCACAAGTTCGCTCTCGGTGGAGGAGAGCTTGGTCGTACCCTGCAGCTTCTTGGCCTGCCAAGAAACGGCAGCTCCGCCAAGCTTGAAGAGGTAGCCTCCCGTGGACAAACGGTTCTCCTTGTCGCCCGCATCATCCGCATCCGCATACCCCACCAGAGTCAAGCTCTCTGGTCCTCCCGTGAACAGCAGCCCCGTGTCTGGTGAGGCAGCCCAGTAGAAGAGTGTGCGGAAGAGCTCATGCCAACGCGCATCCGTCCTGAGGTGTGCACCTGCTGCAGGACGGCTGCACGCAAAAGAGAGGTCAGGACGGGTTGAGATGGCTGCAAACTGCACCATGCCGAGAATTGACAGGTATTCGGTCATGGTTCGGTCGGCAAATTGCCCGGCATCCTGCTTGGCAATGCTGGAGGAGAGAGGAGTAAACGGCTGCTTCTTCGGTGGCACCCCCTTGAAGAAGCGCTGCTGCACCTTTGCCACGTACGCATTCTTGTGCAGGAGGAGTGTCCTGTTGGGGCGGTCGCGCCCAATCTGCAGCCCCAGATAGCGCTCCACTGGCTCCACCTCACGGAGCTGAAACGCCTTGGCCAGCAACTCCTTCAGGTCCTGCAGCAGCTGCTTGTCTTCACTTGCCGCTAGCAGGTCATCCACGTAGATTAGCAGCCACACGCGCTTCCCGCATGCCCCATCCTTGTAGTATAGGGCCTGGTCTACCAGGCTCTTCCTATACCCCTCCACAAGAAGCACCTTGTCCAGCTCCTTGTACCACAGAAGGGGATTCTGCTTGAGTTTGTAAAGGCTCTTGTGCAGGAGGCACACCTTGCTGCTGCCCTCGGTGAAGTAGGGCGGCTGCTGCATGTAGATATCGTGGTCAATCGTGCCATGAAGAAATGCATTCTTTACATCAAGCTGCAGCAAATCTAGGTCCATAGCTGCTGCGATTGAGAGGAGAACGCGTATGGTGGTGTAGCTGCCAACATGAGCGTAGGTGTCGTCGTAGTCAATGCCAAAGCGCTGGCTAAAGCCCTTCGCCACGAGCCTGGCCTTGTATTTCTCCACGGTGCCATCAGGCCACAGCTTCTTCTTTAGTAGCCACTTGACGCCGACTGTTTTGCATCCTTCGGGTAGGTCGGCCAACGACCAAGTGCCTTGCTCATCAAGGCTCTCCATCTCCTCCTTCATAGCAGCCCACCATTCCTTGCCTTCAGGTCCGGTCAACGCAGCTGCCAGGTCGAGGATGACACCTCCCCAAGCGCCTTCCTCCTCCTCATCCTCGTCCGGGTACTCCACTTCGTCATCGCTGTCCGTGTCGCAGTCGTCCTCAGCAAGGTACGCCATGTCGTACGCATGGGCCACTGGTGGCTGCTCATCCACTGCGACCTCTCCTTCCTCCTCAAGATCAGCCGTGTCGCCTCCGTCTGCAAGGGAACCATCCTCTGGTCCCACGGGCGCCGAATCAGCAATGGAGGGAGGACCGAGAGGAGGTGGTGCAGTAGGTGCCTTGCTGCCCAAAGGGCCCACCGAGCGATCAAGGGGTTGCTTGCCCCCTTGCACGGACGGCACCGGGACCACGATGACGGTCCGTGGTGGCGGCAGATTCTTCTCGGGGTCGTGGGGCTCAGGAAAGAGTGATGGGACGGAAGCAAAGGGTGGTGTGGGCTGGGCATTCCCATCACCCACGTGTGCACGCCACTTCTGCCACCTGTCAAGTGACATATCCTCATAAAAACGTGCATCCCGGGTGATGACCATGCGATGTGACTCAACATCCACCACACGACATCCCTCGCTTTCCATACTCATGCCCAAATGCATGCCCCAACGAGTCTTGCTTGCAAGCTTCCCCTTACGCTCGTGCCCAGGGATGAGGTACTGAACTATGCACCCGAACACACGGACCATGGAGACATCGGGCTTCACTTTGAACACCACCAAATGAGGGGTCACACCATGGGGCAGGGTGGACTGGTGCACACGGTTTACCACCCACAAGAACTGCTGGAAAGCGAAGCACCAGTGTGCTTTCATCCCCGTGTGCCCCAACATCACGCGCAAGCCCTCGGTTACCGTACGGTTGCGGCGTTCAGCCACACCGTTCTACTGGGGGGTCGAGGGGCAAGAAAGTTGACGCAGGATCTCTCGTTGCTTCAGCAGCAGCAGGAACTCGTTCGACATAAACTCTCCTCCCCGGTCCGACCGCAACACCTTCAGCGTCATCCCGGTCTGGCGTTCAGCGTCGGGGAGCCACTCCTTGAAGGCAGCAAGCGCATCGCTTTTCAGCTTCAACGTCGTCCCCCAGGTGTACCGCGAAGCATGATCCACGAAAAGAATGTAGTACCTGCTGCCATCCATGGCTGGGGTCTGGAATGGACCGCACACGTCAGTATGGACCAGCCCAAGAACCTGCTCCTCTCGCTCGTCGTGCAGCGGAAATGATTCACGAGTGAGTTTGGCTTCATGGCAGGAGGTGCACGGCATATCCTCACCTCCTTTCTCCAGGTCCATACCGAACACGCCACCGCTCGTGGCTGTCCGCTTCACCGCATCGAAGTGGACGTGTCCAAGGCGAGCGTGCCACAGGTTGGGCGTTGCCTTGGAGCCCACCGCGTACGCCTTGAGGCTGGCCGCTCCATCCTTAGCTTCTGGCTTGCTTGACGCCACATCAGCAATCTCCTTCGCCGTGCTGTTGCTTGCTGTTGCAGCCGTCGTGCCGTTGCATGTCGATGCAGCCCCTATGCCGTTGCTCGCCGATCCAGCTGCCATATCGTTGCATGTCGCTGCAGCCGCCGTGCCGTTGCAGCCGTTCCTTGCTGGCCCCGGTTTCAGGTCAAGGCAGTGAAGGCGATGGCGGTATCGAGCGGTTGCAGCCACTTGACCTCCTGATGCGATGATGCGAGTGACACCTTCCTCGGTTTGCAGCTTTGCTCCGTTGTCCAAGAGCTGCCCAGGGGAGACCAAGTTGGCCTTCATTCCTGGCACAAAGAGGACATCATGTAGAGTCACGTGCAAGCCGTTAGTGCCCTCCAGCAAAACCTCACCAACATCGGCGACTTCCTGCATTGAACCATCAAACCCTTTGACGGATTTCGTTGCAGATGGATCGCGGATCACCGTGAACCACTCCTTGTGGCCGGACATGTGTTGGGAGCATCCCGAGTCAAGGAACCACAAGTCCTTGTCGTCGACCAGCAGCTTTGCAGCCGAACACGCGACGGTGAGCGCCACGCCCTTCCCGTCTCCTTCAGCAACGTTCGCGGCTGTCGCGGACGTTGCATCCTTCTTCTTGTTGGGGCACTTGGCAGCCATGTGCCCCTCCTCATTGCAGTTGTAGCAGCGCCCCTTGAAGGGGCCTCGCTTCTTCTCCCGCTTGCCATCCTTCTTCTTGTCCGTCTGCTCCTTCCCTCCTTTTCCTTCCTTCCCGTTGACCCCCGTTGTAGCCACGACCGTGTTGACAGCGCCCGAGAAAGCAGATGCATCACTGGTGATCTGCTTGTAACTGTGTTCAATGGAGAGAGTGTGCTCCTCCATCAACACCTCGCTGCACACACGTTCCACCGTCATGTCAGGGCTGGAAATGTCGAGCTTGCGGCGAAGAAAGCCGTACTCCGGTGGCAGACCCTTCAGCACGTGAGCGGCAAACGTGGCCATGTGGACCTCCTGTCCAATGGTCAGCAGCTCCGCTCGGATGGTGCGGGCCCTGTTGCAGTAGGATTCCTCCGTCTCATCATCTCCCTTCCTGAGTTGGGCTAGCTGGGTCTGAAGTAGGGAAGCGTGGAGGGCATCACGAGCTTGATAGGTAGACAAGATGTATGCCTATGCCATCTGCCCGACTTTCTCTTGCTGAGAGAAACCAGCAATAGACATTCGGATGGGTGGAGAAACACAACTATTTAGCACCATGAATGCAAGCATTTGGCCCTTTGCGTACTCCCTTCGTTGGAAGGGGTTGTTCGGGGCCGGGCTTGGTGCTGTCCCGTTGCAAAACTGCCACAAATCAGCGCATTGGAGCTGAGGTCGGATGGCGCTGACCCACGCGGTGAGGTCGTGCCTTCCCTCCAGCAGCGGCGTCACGGAGATATGCTCTACTCCAAACTTGAATTGACCGTAGCTCGTCCCGATCATTCCCGTGTCAATGGTCGGAGCAACAGCTCCTCCTCCAATGCCTACGGCAGTTGGAGCCTCGTGCCCAGCTCCTCCTTCACCAGTTCCTCCTTGCTGGCTGCTCGTAGATGCTTGCTCTGCCGCGCGCTCCCGAACCATGCGTAGTAGTCGACCGTCCACAATGAGGACGACCTCCTCATCACGCAAGTTAGGGTGGTGCTCACGAACGGACGCCTCCAGCTCCTCACGGGCATTCAGGCCCTCGGCGCTCGTTAACCACTCCATCCGCGGTCACAGCGAGCGTCAGCCACACCAACGTAGGAACGAAGTGACGGGAGGACAGAATCAAGCCGCTAGTTGGATCGACGAAAATAACCTTGCTCTGACACCTTGTAGAAATTCACTACAATAGCAGCTTGATAGAGCTCAGAAGTACGATTCCAACGCACCAAAGATTGCAGGAAACGGTCCACTATAGCCAGAGATACACACAAACATAGCAGTGATAATGACTTAGTTGATTTCTGGTTTGTGCTCTCTGGTTTTATACTAGGACGCAATACAAAAACAAAGCACACAAGAAAGTGTCGACCCGGGTCGCGTGCTAAATTTTGTCGACGCGAAATTCCGGGCCTTGAATTTCGTCGAGCGAATTCCATTGACTGGAATTCCGTAGACGAGAATTTCCGCGACCAGAATTTCATCGACCACCGACTGTAACTCCCGTGCGAATTCCGTTGACTTCGACACTTCGCTGCCGAGTTTCAAACCGAACGCGACCCGAGATCGATTTCGCCAAAGTGTCCCCAATATGTCCCCAAACTGTCCCCAATCTGTCCTGAAATTGGTACTAAGATCAATTGCGTTACATACCCGTGTCGTTGGTACTACCATTAAGTACGTTACTTACCCGTATGGTTGGTACTAAGAGTCATAACGTTTTTTATTCAAGTAATTGGTACTAAGATCAATTGTGTTAGTTACCTGTTTGGTTGGTACTGAGAATGAGTGCGTTGCTTACCCGTGTATCTGGTACTAAAATTAGGTGCGTTACTAATTCGTATGGTTGGTAGTAAAAGTAAGTGCGTAACTTACCCGTATGGTTGGTACTAAGAGATTATGCATTACTTACCCGTGTAGTTGGTATTAAGATTAAGTACGTTACTCACTCGTATGGTTGGTAGTAAGAGACTGTGCGTTACTTACCCGTGTAGTTGGTACCAAGATTGATTGCATAACTTACCCGTATGGTTGGTACAAAGAATAAGTGCGACTTATTCATCTGGTTGGTATTTTGAGTAAGTGCGTTATCTACCCTTAGGGTTGGTACTAAGATTAAATGCGAAACTTACCCTACGTAGTTGGTACTAAGAGTCTGTACGTTACTTACCCGTATGATTGATACTGTTATATTCACAATAGGCTCCAATGTGCCTAAAACGAAAGATAGAGTGCACAGTCGGATTTCTGCACATCGGACTTAAACGTTCGTAGCGATCTGGTCACAGCTCCAAATGACCTAATGCAACTTGGATCTAGAGCGTCTTAACGTCGCCTACAACAGGCAATTTAGATCGCACAATTTCATTAAGAATTGACGACACAGCGTCGGTTTGAACGAACGGCACTATGTCAGCAAAAAAGTCTTCGAACACCCAATTAGGAAGAACTAGGAAGAGTTACGAGTTGGGAATGACTCCCAGCTCCTACAAACCCCAAGAGCCGAGGTACAGTGATGTGGAACAGTGCCACACTGTCCCCAACCAAGAAGGGTCTTGAAACTACCCTTCACAAGGGCCTACACTAATAGAAATGTTACACTACACGTGGTAATGTAACTATCTTCAACATCTTGAGGTGTACCCTTTTGGCGAGCTTCTAAATAACTTGAAGCTTGATACCAGGGCTCAGGTTCTTCATCACAAACTCATCTTTGAGTTCTTGATGGGTCTGCTGCACACACCTGCGACACGCTGAACGTTCGACGCAGGACAAAATAGGAACCGCGCACGAGACACACGACAAAATAGAAACCGCGCGCGAGACTTAAATGACCGCATTAACACGCGGCTAGCGATAACTCGCTATTGACTCGACACACACACTCGACATCATGACCCATCATACACACACTATTATAAGCATGAAATATATATATTTATTTCATGCACTCATACCATTCCATGCACACACGCATGCACGCACACGGACAACAAGCCGAGTGCAAACCGTGGGGTTGCACCAACAAACTCCCTCTAGGGTTGTTGGCCTTAGGATCTTGCTCTCTCAGTTCAGAGCCATCCCAGCCAGCTTGCAACACTTCCAATGCTGCTGCTCCACCAGCCTCTTGGTCATTATATCAAGTGGCTGCCCCGTAGTCTTCACATAACGCAACTCAACTTCACCCGCGGCCACCATGCTCCTCGTCCAGTGCCACTTCACCCTCATGTGCTTGGTGAGGCCGTGCAACACAGGGTTCTTAGCTAGAGCAATGGCACCCTGGTTGTCACAGTAGAGTGGGGTAGGGCCTTGCTGCTCTTCCCCAAATTCAGCCAACAAACGCCGCTGCCACACAATCTCCCATACGACACGAAAGAGTGCCATGTACTCGGACACAACCGAGCTCAAAGCTTGGTCAACCTGCTTCTTGCTTTCCCAAGCAGTTGGGCCTCCACCAACACAGCATATGAAGCCTCCCACACTTGTCATGTCCTCTGGTTCCGATGCATATGAAGCATCCGAGTAGGCGGTGAGGAACAAACGTCCGCGCCCTTTTAGCGCCTTTGTGCTGCCGCCGAGTATTGCAGCCCAACGGTCGGTGTTTGGCCAAGATACTTGGCCACCCTCATTCCAGCTGCTACCTGCTCCTCATTAGGGCATTGCACAACCCTTGCCAGCTGCCCGGTAGCAAACGCGACATCCGGTCGTGTGTTGACCGCCGCATACATGAGGCCCGCCGCATACATGAGCCTGCCCACCAACGAGTGAAAATCAGCGCCTCTCTTCTTCGCCAACGCTCTCCTCCTCTGGTCCCTTCACACACTTGAACCCAGAGGGAAAGGGTGTAGCCACATGGCCTTCATTCTGCCCAAAGTTGGCAGCCAATGCCTCCAGGTACTTCCGTTGGTGCACCCGCATGCACCGCTTCTCCACATCACGCTCGATGTGAAGCCCGAGGTAAAAGTTCACGTCCCCAAGGGACTTGCACTTGAACTTGTCTTGAAGCTTCAGCATCACCTCCTTCACAAGGTCAGAGGAGGGTGAGAAGATGAGGATATCATCCACATAAACCACCATAAGCTCCTGCGCTCCCCCTCGCCAAGCATGAACAAGGAGTGATCGGCCGTTGAGGGAGTGAAGCCGATCTCCTCCAACACTTCTCACAGCTTCTGATACCATTGCCTAGGGGCCGGGCCTGCTTCAGTCCATAGAGGGCCTTCTTCAGCTTCCACACTCTGCCGCTACCGTCATCAAACCCCTCTGGCTGCGCCATGAAAATCTCCTCCTCGAGGATTCCGTTGAGGAATGTCGTTACGATGTCCAGCTGCTTCTCCACCCAACCTTTGATCGCGGCTCCCGCGAGTAGGGTTCGCAGCGTCGTCGGCTTCACCACAGGAGCAAACAGCTCATTGAAGTCCACCTTGTCCTTCTGCTGGTTACCCTTGGCCACCAGCCGAGACTTGTAACGCTCGATCTTGCCGTCGGCATCGGACTTGATCTTGAAGAGCCACTTGGACGTTATCGCCGTACGCCCCTCCGGTAGCTCCATTGCCTTCTTCCACTCCTCAGCATCACTACTCTCCAAGGCCTCCTTGAGAGTTGCTGGTTCTCCCGGCATCTCCACCGGAGAGAAGAACGCGAAGGCATGCTCCTCGTAATCATTCTCCTCGTCATCTCCGACCATCATTGCTGCTCCGGCCAGGGCTGTCTTGCCTTGCTTTCCCGGTGCATCATAGGTCAGCCTATTAGGGGGTTGAACTCTCCTCTTGCCCCTTCCTTCCTCCTCAGCTGCAGGGACTTGAAGGCCTTGGCGTTGTTGCGGTGTAGCACGGATCCGTGGAGTGCTCGTAGTGCGGGAAGGAAGTGTCGGTGCACGCTCGCTCACTTGCTGCACCTCCTCCTCTTCTTCCTCTGCATCCTTGGCCTCCTCTCCCCCATTCACAAGGGAAGATTGCCTTGTGGTGGTGCTGCCGCTGCTCAGCTCCAAAGGCAGCTCCACATGCTCCAAACCGGAACTCTTCACCTCTCCAAACCGCACGCCTATCTTCGCCTCATTCTCCGCCTTCCAATCCTTGTACATCAAATTCTCCACGAACTGGCAGTCCCTGCTCACCAAGAACTTCTTGGTAAAGGGATCCCAAAGAAGCCACCCCTTGCTGTTTTGAGCCATGCCCAAGTGCACGGCCCACACCGCCTTGGCACCAAGCTTGTTGTGCCGAAGATGCTTAGGCACGAGCGCCATGCATATGCACTCGAACACCCGAAGCATATCCACCTTTGGCTTCCTTCCAAGCCACTCCACATAGGGCACCCATTTATCTGCTCCCACATGAGTCAAAACTCTGTTCTTGGCCACGCATACACTCCGCACCGCATCAGTCCATAAATAGTCGGGTAGCCCAGCTTCAATGAGCAACCCGCGTGCCGTCTCCGTGATTGTGCGGTTCGCCCTCTCGGCGATGCCGGGAGTATGGCATGGTAAGTGAATGCCTTATGGCATTCTTCTTCAGCCACAAGCCGAACTCCTTGCTCAGGAACTCTCCCCCACGATCGGTGCGGATCGACTTCACTAGTCGGTCTTGTTGCCGCTCCACCATCGGCAGAAAGTCGGTCTTCCCTCATCGCTCTTCTTGGCCAGCACGTTCACCCATGTCATGCGGGTATAGACATCGACAATGGTGAGGAAGTACTCAGCTCCAGCAGCTCCAAGCTTCAGGGGGCCCACCACGTCCATCACCACCTCATCAAGTGGTCCCTTATCTGTTGTCTCCGAACTCGAGAACGGGAAACGGGTGAACTTGGCTTGCATGCACGTCGGGCAGCCAAGCACCTCATCTGGCTCTCCCTTCACACGTGCCAGCAACCATCTGGTTCTTCACTAGCTGCTGCAAGATAGGCAAGGCCATATTCCCCATTCGACGATGCAAGGTGAGCCAATCACACTCCCCCGTAGCCGAAGTCGGATTGGAGAATGCCGCGCTCGCAATAGCGCACGACATGCTCTCTCTGTAGTCCTCCTCCGCTGCTGCCTCGGGGTTCTCCTCACCCTTGTGCTGCTTCTTGGC